ATTAATCCTTGTAAAATATTTCGTACAATTTCTCGTTTCGCTCTTGCATTCGCCAAATCATTCGACAAAATTTTTAAATGTAACGTTACAGCTTGATTATTTCCTGAATTCTCGTAATATTTTTCAATTGGATTGGAAATAAATTCGTTGATTTGCATCATCAATGTTCTATTTTCTCTATGTCGAGCTAAATGAAATGATATAATCAATATTTGATAAACACAACTTTGTATGATGATAAAAAAAAATTATATCACGAACCAATGACGGCTTTCTTGAGATTTTCAACTCATATTGAGTTTATAGATTGGGAACCAGGATCTGAGGAATTATTTCTGCCGTTCAAGATCCTCTTTTTGCTTGACACTAGAGACCCGTGCATAGAGGAACCCTTTTTTGGTAGTGGTGTAATCGACATCTTGGGAAGTCAACTCTGGAAAACTGGAAGATTTGTCGTAAAGGCGAGTACCGGAAGGAGTCGTTTTAACAATAATTCTTCCTTGCTTTAGCCAACGACGTAAGGTATCTGAAGAGATTCCAAGTTTTCTAGTTGCCTTGTCTGCAGACAAATACATGGAGGAGAGAGTTTGAGTTTACGATTTTGAACGATTTTTGTGTCTCATATGATTTTCATTGATAACGATATTACAATGAACAATACTAAGCATTAAAAATTTGCAACTGCGGCATTCTGCGATACGATACTGAAGGAAAACTAGTCCGTGCTGACTAACTTTTCCATTCTTTTCCCTAATATAATATAAATACCGGGCAACTTCTTTTCTCCACAAATAAACCGGATCGTTGCATTTTCTTTCAGAGAATTATTTAACATAGTAATTGTAGTCTAAAAAAGATCTTGGTTATTGTGAAAACATAATAATTCTTCTCTTTGGTATTTTATATATATTATCTTTTGAAAATTACAAATGTATAAAGTTTGGCCTTTTACGAGTTGGGGTTTGGGCATAACGAGCATAAATATTCCCTCAACGATCCAAAAAAGGTTACTCAAATTCTTGCTCAAAAGGGCCTTGGGTCAGTTCTTGGCTGAAGAACTAGATCTCGATAACCTTGAGGTTCAATTTGGCGAAGGGCTTGTTCAACTAAAAGAATTACAACTAAATGTGGAGGTACTTTATTATCTTTATTTTATCAACCTTCTCATTTTGATCATTGATAAAAATTATCATTCGATTGTCTTTTTTGCTCGCGTTTCTATCAATTCTTTTTGATAAAAATATTTTCTCTAATTTATTTTTATGTCGGAAGGTTTTAAATGATCTTGTTGCAGATTTACCAGTGGTTATAACAGACGGAAAAATTGGTGGTATCATCGCTAAGATTCCATGGAAAAATATATGGAAAAGTGACTTTGTTTTGGAACTTCATAATTTACAGATTACTGTCGTTCCTGAACATGCTAAACCAAGAAATGGTAAAACTAAACTTTTCAATAAAAAAAAAATTAAAAAAAAAATTGCAATGATATCAACTAGAGAATTTCTTATGAATTGATTTTTTCGAGATACATGCATATATTTGTTATAAATTTTTATATCATCTTTTTTTCCTAATTTGATAGCCAAATCTACTACTCCTGAAGACTCGCATATACTTTCATCATCATTTCACTTTGCTGGCGATTTTCTTCGTCATGAAATACCTCCCGAAGAAGATGAAGAACTTCGAAATTCTATTTATCATTCTTTCCATAATAGCACGTTACCATCAGAAAGTCAGGAACTAGGAAGTTCAGGTCTTGAACAATCAGAAACATTACCACAGCAATCTACCATAATTGGTGATAATGGTAATGGTGGTATAGAAGGTATCCAAATTTTGGCGCGGCTTATCGATAAATTAATGTCGAATGTTAAAATAGTTTTAAAGAACACATGTATACGACTTTCTCATCAATCTACGATTACACCTAGTGGAGATGGTATTTCAAACAATAGTGATCAACCTAAGGAATATTATTTCGATTTGGAGATTCCGATCATTTCTTTCAAGGATGAAAAATCTGGATTAGATGATGAACCAGTCTCACCTAATTCATCTGGTTCAGCTAACGTGACATTACCTCCAGCACAACCTGAAACGGTAAAATCTTTTTCAATCACTGGATTAAATATTTGGTTAAGGGAAGCAGCCAATAAGGCTGTAAATAATTGGGCTCAACAACAATCACCACCCTCGTTTAGTGAAGATCCTGAAGACAGTGGAGATGAATTTTTTGATTCATGTCAAGGGACGATCTCAGAAAATGATGATGATCAAGACCAAATTAATCCTTATGAAGCCATGATCTTTTCTTGTGCAGAACAGGAAAATTTAATTAAAGTTACATTGCGTCAAAACGCTCCTCCTGTTATCCAATTTGATTTACAAAATGCTGCTTCTTCACACTTATACACACAAGAAGCTATGCGACAAGCAAATATTACTCAATCATGTGAAATCCAAGGTTCAATTCAATCAATGATTGCTGTATTGACTCCTAGTCAAGCATCATTGATGGTAGATTTGGTCGACGCGTTATCAAAAAGTAAATCAGCTGGTGATAGTATATCTTTAAGTAGCACTGAAAGTGATGACGATATTCATGATACTGCTCGTTTACATAATCTTAGAAATAATGATAGAATACCAGAAAGTAGCGTAGATAGTATTTTTAATGATTTAGGTCAAGACGTAGCTTATAGTTCAGTGCCTTCTCCCATTCAAAACAATGATATGGATGATCTCTTATATAACTTAACTTCTCCTGCTTTAAATACATCTGGATCAATTCCAACTCTTGCACCCAACATGAAAATTGAATTCATAATTCAGAATATTGAAATTTTCTTTTTATATTCTGATCCATTACCTAAATTTATACCAGAAAAAATTTTTTTCGATACTCGATTACCTGAAAATTTAAACATTAGTCATATAAAGATCAATGTTAACGAACTATCCTGCAAGATTCAAAAATGGGATCCCGAGACTTTGATCGGTAGTCTGAAACAAGGTGGAAGTATACCGAATATAAAAAGCTCGGAAACTGAGGAAAGCTCACGCATATTAATAGATGTAGCATTGGCTGATTTTTCTATATCAGAATGGTTAAAGAATGACAACCCTGAGATCGAAAAATTAAAATCTGAGGTTACGCTTCCAAATTTTAACATTTATGATCCTTTATTATTTTTTGATCCCGAACTTTTGAATTCTTATCGTCCCGAAGAGTCAGATTTTCCAAACTTTCCAGTAAAAAATGTGAATCATTATGGTTTTAATAAAAATACTGGAACGAAAAAAGCCGGAGGGACTACTTCTAGATTCAGTAGAAACAATAACAACATTATCAAAGACGTCATTAGATTAAAAATCAAGATTACGAACGTTTCTAATGAAGGTTAATTAATTTGACGCGTTATTTATTTATTTATTGAATTCCTTTTCTTGTAATGAACCTCTTGAAAGTTGTCGAATTTTAATAATCAAGATTTGTTTTAATTTAGGTAATTTGTCATCAGCCGTCAATGCAGTTAATTACGAAGTTGCAGTAGATTTAGAACCAGTGCAATTACACCTTGACCTCCGAATAATTGATCGATTGGAGAATTATTTAGTCTTTTTTCCTGGAGATTCTGGTAATAGCATTTCTCGAGAAGAGAAATCCACAAAGCATACATTTAACGAACATTCGACAAGTCAAAATATAATTGATGATTTGGATACACAAAGGTTGAATGAGGTGAAGTTTTTTTTTTTTTTAAAAAAAAGTAACCGTTTTTTTTTTTTGATCGATTTATTCGGGAATATTCTTTAACATCTAATTTTTTCTTTTAGAAAAATTTGGAAAAATCTCAGTTTCGAATCAATTGTGACTTGATTCGTTTGATGTTACATTGTCCAGACTTGAGTGCTGCTAATACACATAAAGTTGTTGAAGATTATTGCATACACTCTAATTTATTAATTGTTGACATAATAAATATCAATATTGCGACTGGAAGTACGAAGCAGCCAGGTGTATCACGAGCAGAAAGTTACGGTATTCAACAGCATTCTGAATCCGAAGGACACACTAACGATTTGCAACAAAATAGGATGAGGATAGAATTTGGCGGAATAAACATTTTCTTAAAGGAAACTAACGGTGAATATTTTTTACGTTTTATGATATAAAATTATTCGTATTTATATATTAATTTGAATTTAAAATTTATAGATTCAAATGCTAAATGTTTTCTTACTGGGAAGCCATTATTAACACCACAGTTAACTCATCATCGGACTATGACTCATATCTCCCAAATGTATCCTAACGTTGAAATCACTTATAGACCCGCAAGCGCTGTCAAAAACAAATTGTCTTTTATTGGAGGCAATATTCGATCTTCACCATTTTCACAAACTTTCACATCATTTGAAGGCGAAGATCGTTCTAATTGGCCAGCAGAAAACGAAGAAGAGGAAATATTGATATTCAAACAAAGAACGATCGAAAGTTCGGTAAGTGTAATTTATGACTTATAAGATATATGTTTTCTAATGTATCTGGACTAAATGTTATTTTTCTTTGATATTTGGAAAATAAAGTTGTTTGTGATAAATTGTAGTTTTCCACTTACACGTGTTCGAGTTACAAAATCTTCTTTTGATATTCTTCAAATTTTGTTGAATGATTTGGTATTATGGCAACCTAAAAATAATAGTGCTGCTAATGAACAAGTTAATCACGTCAATTTAGCTGAAAGTTACGATTATAGATCATATCAGCCAGTTTATGGAATGGATTCTTATGATTCTGAAAATCATGAAATGAGAATGAGACCTGAGGGAAGTTTCATGGGATCTCGAATGGACATTTCAATACCGTCGAGGCCTAGTCTCGCGTCAATTGTTGTATTTATGACGAAAAGTATATATAAATGTATCTGTATAATTGAATTGTTATAATAATTGATTTTGAAGCTGAATTTGTTATTTGCATTTATAGTCGAAGTTGTTATATTATGTGATCCTGAAAAGCAATCGGGTAATCATGCAGAATCGGGGCGTCATTATCAACTCAATATGTCAGATTTCAGATTCTTTACTGTCGTTAAACATGAAGGAAAAGTACGTTTGAAGGAAAAAGATTTAATGCAATCTTTTTTGATTATTATCAAGGAAATATCTTAAAATGTGTTTTTATCGCTTTTTATAGAATGATACTTACGTTGTACTAGATAATGATTATTTGGATTATTTGGATATAACAACGCAAGACAAAACACAAATATTATGCCGTACATTGAACAAGGGTCTGAAGGTGACTAAATGTAAAATAATCTAATTAAATTACTTTTAATCTACAAAAATAATTAAGACTTTTCTTATTTTACCTTAGGCAAAAAATACGCGCCCCATGATGTCTTTAATCATGCTTATCTCTCTTGACGTCGTAGTAAACATGAAGGAAGTGAATTTAACTTTATCTGTTAATGGAATAACTTTACGGATTTCTCAGGATACAAGATGGATAGATGACTTGGTCTCATTCTTTCAAGAACCAGAAATGGTAAAAGCATAGATTTAAAATCCACGTGAAATTCTCTAATTGTTATTCAATGCTAACACAAATTATATATATAAATTTTTAAAGAAGACCTTTATAGAACTTCCTAGTCAATTTACAAAGTTGTCAGTGACAATAAATGATTCTTCAGTAGACTTTAATCCGAAAAACATTCCTGGGCGTATTATCCTAGTTCTTGATAGTTTAAAGGTACTTATGTTAACCATACGTATGCCCTCTTTGAAACTTCATTGATGATGTAATATTTCCATTGACAATTTATTTACAGGCATCGAGTAATATAATATCCGAATCACCAATGTTTGATACAAAATTAATTGGTCAAAATTTGGATTTAATGCTTGTCGGTGATAAAAAATCAATTGATGAGCGCGCGATAAATCGACTCGCCTCATCAACTATTGACGTTAAAAAGTACTGGCAGGTAATTTTATATTTACATTTATATTATATTTATTAATTATCATATATTCTACTAATCGTATAATTGTTTTTTTTTAAAAAAAAAAAAAAATTAAAGACTATGGGATTCGTTAAAGCCGCTTCTCTCGACTTTGTAGAAGTCCAACTTCACAGTACTAAAGCAGATATTTATCCGAAATTTGAGGTATTTAATATTGTAAAGTTAGATATTATTTCCCAACGAGTTTATTAATACATTATTTTGTAGCTTGATATTACTAATGAAAATCTTACGATCGAAATATGTGCGGACACATTCCAAACATTATTGAATATGGTTAATCATTTAAACCCAAAAGCAGAAGATCCGGAAAAGGGGTATGCAAATTCTTTTTTAAAATTATAATAAATCTTTATGATTAATATTTTTTTTATTTAGACGAAAAGCTCCTCATATAACAACTGATCCTGTTGTCCAAAATATGCTAGGTTCGTCTTATTTTTTATGTTTCAAAAAAATTTATTTAATAATTCAATATTAACTAAATTTTTATGTTGAAACTTGATATAGCGAACTTGGATGAGTATGCCTTTGATTCAAAATCAAAATCTCGTGCCACACCCGCAATAAT